TAATGTATTCAAACAGCCGGGCCTACGTCACGAGATCACCAACAAGCACAATCAGAAAATATGTAAGCATCCCATCGGCTTTATTGCACATACATTAACATGAGACAGCCAGTCCTCCTCTTGTACATCGACATACGCCGAAGAAAATATTTATGCAAAAAACTCATTTGGTGATGCAAATTTTCCGGTAAATTATTGCTGGATAAAAGGTTGAATACAGGCAGCATACATGTACGTTTGTTGGTAGGGTGACCGCAAAGATAAACAGATGAAAGGAAAGAAGGTACGATAATATTACCTTGAACCACCTCCCCTCAAATTATACACTTTTTTCTAGTCAAATAAACGAACGAAGATGTTTCTTCTTCAGCTTCGTTCTTAATTTTAGTTGTGGAAGGGAATCCCTCCTACATAAGGGGGTCGTCCATAAATGACGTCACACTCGTAGGGGGGAGGGGTGGTCCGTAATTTTGTGAGTGTGTGTGATGAGGGGGGAGGGCGGGGGGGGGGGTTCAGATGGTGCGACGTCACACTTTTGCTTTATAAAAAAGCAATGTTAGAAAACGAATTGCAGACGTTATTTTTCGTTTTAGAAAACTGTTTTAATAAAGTGTAATAACAATTGATTAAAATACTCTATTTTGACAGAGTTCAGACAAGATTTTGGAAAAATATAGCTGTTTAAAAAAAATTCAACTGCAATTTTGAGGGGGGTTGTAGGCTGAGGGTGACGTCATTTTAGGGGGGTGGGGTCTGGCTTTTTGTGACGACGTGTGACGGAGGGGAGGGGGGGGAGGTAACAATGGTCAAAAAAGCGTGACGTCATTTATGGATGACCCCTAATTAAGTATAGTGTCAACCAGAGGCGTAGCGACCCATTGCGTTGCGGCGCTCGGGGCGAACTATCAATGTTGCGCCCTCCCTCTCCATGTTTATATATAGTTATTTAAATAGCGACAAATCTTTTTAACCCCTAACGGTTATTTTTGTGTCACATAAAACAGTAAAGTAAGCCCGTAAAGCCAAGTTCTTTGACTGAGTAGGCCTATATTTCAGTTATTGAAGCTATTGCACCCGGGGCGGCCGACCCAGCCACCCCAACCGCCCTACTCGTGACTTTTCAGTTTATCAACCATGAGCTTTACAGACTCGACCACACCGACCCATACTGTTCTACTGATCAGCATTTGACAGTAACTCCGCATTACTTTGTTACTTGAGTTTCTTTCATGCATTTCTTCAACCCGTCCCCCTTCACCCGTGAATTCGATCGCAAAAGCTATTCAACAATCGGACAAATTATAGTGTTCATTGTTTCAGTTCACGCTCGACGCCTTGTTATGCTTCAACAATGTTCTCCCATTCGTATTATCAATTTCTGGCCACACTCCCCAAATTAGGCATATATGTAGTAATTCGCGTTGGTGAAAAAGCGCCCCCCCCCCCATTCCCATCATTTAGAAAGGTCGGGCCGCTTTTTACCAGTCTCTTTGCCTTTTTATTTTGGTGTCGCGCAATTGATGCAGAAAACAAGTCCGTAATGCCAAGTAGAAGATTTTGTTATTTACTTAGACTGTATAATACAGCTATGAGCTTTTTATATTACTATTTACCAAGTTTGGCGCCCCCTTGTGTCTACGCCTGGGGCAGCCGCCCCACCCACCCACCCCTAGCTACGCCTCTGCCCCCAGGTTTGATCTGTTGACTTCACTTCGCTATCTACTATGTATAGCCAGATAGTCTTAGGTCGCCCTTTTCTTCTTTCGTCGTATGGTGTCCCGAGAAGTCATGACTTTGTTATTAGGGTGTCTTTCTTTCATTTTAGTGTAAAAGTTCACTTGAAATCTTTGGGGGGGGGGGGCGGTAAACTTTCTTCGGGGGGACGGACACTGTTAAAAGTATATATTTTCTATATAAATTTTGCCCCCCCCCCCCCCCCCCCCCCCCGAAGAGATGCCTGGAAGAAACTCTGGTTGGGTGGATTCAGGGACGGTCTACTGGCTTGAACTCCGTCCCCTTCATTTTAGTGTAGGCTGCCCTAAATAAAATAATAACATAAAAACATATTGAATCATTTTCTTATTTTTAAGATGATGTAACTAAAATCACGAAATCGATACCCTACAGTTTACCATCCTCATATATGTTTTCTTTTTCCCCTTTTACATATTCATAACCAAAGGTTCAGCGCCTCAACTCGAGGTCAAGCCTCACAAGGCAACTCTTTCTCCTGAATAAAATATTTTTCTTTATACTTTAATGTATACACTAGAGCTACAATAACACTAATGAGATGCGTCTTTACTGCTAATTAGAAACATGTTTGTTCTGATGAGGGTGGGTGGGAGATGGATCATTGTGAATAATATAATAGTAGTGGTTCTGAGTTCTGGCATTTTGTAATAATGTATGAGGTAAGAGTGGAATCCTTAGAAGGAGGGGGATAATCGGCTAAATTCCTTGGAGTTGGTTAATAGACATACTAAATGTCACACCCTTAAGGCGGGGGGGGGGGGGGGAGGTGGTAAGGTGCTGGGGGATCTGCTTTCTGACTTTTGTGAAGGTGAGTGACGAAGAAAAGGGACGGGGATGGGGTACAGAAACTGTGACGTCACACGTGTGCATTTGTTAAATGCATATTTTAAACTGAATTTTAGCAGCACTTCATTTTTAAACGACTAGTAAATTTTCATTGCAATGGATCAATATACCCAATGTTAAACCATCTCTGCAGTAGCGTAGCGAGGGGGGGCGGGGGGGGGGGGTGACATATGTCCCAGGGCGCCGACCTTAGGGGGCGCCAAAATGGATTGGAAAAATAAATTGTAAGGTTGAGGGGGGTGCAAATCGAAAGTTTGAGGGGGGGGGGTGCAAATCGAAAAGTTTGTCCCCGGGCGCCGGGAAGGGTCGCTACGCCTCTGCATCTCTGTTAATCTGATAGAGAAAAAAATCATCGATGTTTTTAAAAACAGATTGCAATAAATCGGGAATGGGTTGAGCAAGGTATCTTTATGAATCTTCTGGATGGTAGGGCAATTATAGGAACGGTTAAAAAAAATATAATTTTTTTTTCTTTTTTGTCAGTTTTAGACGGACGTCAGTTTATTGTGTGTATGAAGGGGCGGTTGACTTACAGGAAGATATTTAGCTATGAACGAACCTTTAAGCCTAGGTAATTCTTTCCTTGTTGTGAAAGCTGTAAATACACCCGCAAATCTGAATGTTAGGATTAAAGTTTCTTCTCCTTTGGCGACAGTAGCCAAAAAAAAATTATTTCCAGAATTTTTATCCTTTCGGGAAACAGTTTTTCAGACTCAGTCTTAGGTTACAAAATAGAGGCGTAGCGACTCGAGGCGAACTTTATTTATGCCCCCCCCCCCCCCCCCAGCTACGCCACTGGTTTCGAAAGTCCACCGAAACCAAGTGACTTTGTGGTTTCCATGGGAAATAATGCAACGGGAAAAACGTACAATATTCGCACCACAAAATTGTGAAAAAAAGAAAATAAACTTTGAAACAGATGTGTGAATATAGCTACTTTTCTTATGTAGGTTTCTAAGGGGGGTGTATCTTGTCGTTGTACTAAATAGTAGGCCCAGTACTTTTTTCTCCGGGAGGTGGGGGGGGGGGAGGAGGTGGCGGACTAAAATTTCCGGGGTCGGACACTGTTCAAAGTATATGTGTATATATTTCCTATATAAATTCCATTTTGTTCTTTAAAAGTGATGCCTGGAAGAAACTCTAAGTAGGCCCCTACCTGCTTTTTTTTAACAGGAGGGTCACATGTCGCCATAAAAAGCTAGACCACTCTTACAGCTGACATTAAAAATTAGCATTTCAGCATTTACCCTGACATTCAATCCCGCTAACAAAGCTTCAATACTACAGCAAGCCAACATAGTAATTTAAATAGTAGTGTATTTTTATATATTTAAAGAAAATCATTTATTTTATACTTTTTAGTGCATTATTACATAAAAGCTAGTTATTAAAACGTTTTTATGCATTTTTTCAGTACTCTATTTTTACTTTATACGAAGAATAGAGAAAGTATTGTAATCGTGAAAAAAAATAGAGATTTTTGCAAATCTCGGCGTTTTACACCTCCTGAGTCGGAAAAACATAGTTTTGCAATCTTGTCCGTATGTGTGTGTGTATGTGCGTGTGTGTGTCTGTATGTGTGTCTGTAAACACGATAACTTGAGTACCGTTACAGAGGTTGATGAAATTTCATGTATAAGTATTATATCAAATGTGTAGTTCTGTATCAACTTTTCAGCGATTTATGTAAGATTGCATTGTCTACATGTATTGACCTATACGTGCCAACTTTGAAACCAATCTGTCAGTTAAAAGTGGCCTATATTTCGCTCGAGCATTTCGATCTAGACAGACAGACTGGCGACAGACAGAGAAAGCAAGTTAAATAAAAGCTTGTGATAAATATCTTATTTTGTCTTTACATTAGACCTATTATATGTAAACTTGTTATTTTAAAGTTTTATTTCCATATAGAATCTTGGCCAGTGGCTAACTAAATAAAATTAATTTGCTCGGTGCAACGCCGCCTTTTTTCTGTTGATTTTCAGAAATAAAATTATTTTTAAAATTCATTTTGAGGTATTTTTTTAAACTTTATATCTATATAAATTATAATCTAATGGCTACTGTTTTTGTATAGCCAAATCATAATTTCTCATTTGATTCAATATAAAACCCCTTGTATTGTTTTATTTTTAAACATGCCCTCCGGCATCATTTTGTATTGCTCTTTTTAAAACTATTCCATTTTATACGAATTTTACGGAAAAATCGTATCTGTAAGCAGCAGTTGTGGGATTTTTAAAAACAAATAGTCTTTAAAAAATAAGTCTGTGGTTTAAAATAAAAGTAATTTTCCTCTCGGAGTTTTCCAGCTTTACATAGATCTACCCTGCTTGTATAGTTAGGTCTAGTAACATAAGGCCCTACAGTAAAACAAACACCGTTAACTCGGTCACATTGACCTCAAACCAAGCTCTTCCCACAATCCTCTACTTCCTCAAGAAAGAGTGTTGACAAGCATCATGGCGACCAATTTCAAAATTGGAGATCTTGTGTGGTATGAAAATGCTAATATTTGTATTGTGTGTATAATTAATCTTTGTTGCATATGATAGCAGTTATAGAATACTATATTCTTTGTGTCTAATTGCAGGGCAAAGATGAAAGGGTTCCAGGCTTGGCCAGGAAAGGTATGGATACCGGCTTTCCTACTTCGCTCTCCCTGTTCAGCATGATGAAGCCTAGCGTGCCTTGAAGCACACAGTACATTCAGTGTCCTAATCTATTGAGCTTGATTTTTTTATGTGTGATCTTTTCATAGATAGAATCTAACGCAATTTTGTTTTTAAATTAAATGTATTTGACATGCCAAAGCTTTAAAAAATACCAATTTATAGGCTAAAGTTTATTTTATTATTTTTAGTGGCCCAGCCTAGACTAGCAGCTGAGCTACTGAACTAGAATTACTAGTCACTAGAACTAGAGATCTACTGAGCCTAGGCTATACATCATGCTGTAGTCCAAGGCAGCTAGTGTTTTTTATTAATATCAATTATTAATAACATTTTGATTTTGTCAGATCATCATAATTGTAATTTTTAATTTCATGCATTTTGATGTTTTTCTTCCACAGATAGTGGAACCCAAGGATGGTGTTAAAAAGCCTTCCAACAAGAAGAATGTCCATTTTGTCTATTTCTACGGCTCTGAAAACTAGTAAGTTATTTATGTTAGATTGGTTTTAGATGATTTCTGAAAATCAAGAACCATAACTGCTGTTCTTTTAATTTTCTTTTTTAAAACAAGCACAATGGTTAGGCATCCACCATTAAATAGGCATGTTAAACTACAAAATACAGTTTATATATGCCTATTGATCTAAGGCAATAACTTATTTGTTTGGTAAAAGATAAGTAAGAAAATCAGTTTATGTAGGGCCTAAACAATAAGGCTCAATAATTGACCAATATTGTTACCTAATTGTTGGGTATTTAAAACTTACAATTTAGCCTACTTTACACATGCATTTCACCCAGCATTGTTGAATTACTATTTTTTTTTAAAGATGTAATCTTGGAGGAAAATAAAACATACTATGTCTATGATACTTGATTTACAAACTTTGAAAATACTGTAGTTTGTCTACTTTAAGATCATAATGCTACTTGATGAAGTATTAAAAATGACATATGGTCTAATAAGTATATTAATTTGCAATATTGAGTATTTTCTAATATTTAAAAAATTTAACAATGTTTTTCTTCTTTAGTGCTTGGATACAGGAAGAAAATATTTATCCTTACCCTGAATACAAGAGCAAATATGAAGGCAGTTCTCGTATTCCTCGAGGCTTTAAGGAAGCTTTAGAAGCTATTGAAAATGAACACCAGGCCATACTTGTAAATAATATAATATAATATTTTAAATTTATTCTTTTCACCATATTTCTTGGTAGTTTTTTTTTTTTTTAATGTTTCATAGTTTGCAATTTCATTCATGAATCATTTTCAAAATTATATATACCCCTAGAATATAAGGTATTGTGACTATTTTTCTAGGATATGTATAATATATTCACAAAATTACTAGGTTGTGATAAAGATTGCCTGTGGATTTTTACAAAATGTGTATGTACGGCCAACAGTGCCACATTTGAAGTTTACTCATTTATTTTTATTATTTAACCTTTCTAAATGTAATTTTTAGGCTTCTGGACCCTTGGAAAACCTACCATCTATTGATGAGGAAGTAGCACTGATGCAGCACAAATCTATGGGATCTGATGGTGTCGAAGTGGCCCCATCCTCCAGCTCTAGCAGTGCTAAAAAGGCTAGTACATTTATTTTAATTTTGATGTATCAATAAATTTAATTTTTTTACAGTAAATGAATAGTACACCTTTGAATTTATTAATAGCACCTTTTAAATTACATTAGCATGGGGTACAATGTATTATTTTGTTAATGTTGGGAATTTTAAGCAGCTTTATAATTAATAACAAAGAAGTGTTGTAAAAAGCAGGCATTGTTGCAAAATTATTGAAAAAAATGTGAATCAGAAACAAAATATTTTCTAATGTAAGAGATTACAGAATAAGAAGAGACTTATTTTGCTATATTTTTTAAACGCATCATTTACAAGGATTTACATTTTACAAAATGGTCTGTCATCGTTTTATTTATTTAGTGATAACATTTAAGTTTTTAGTTAAGTAAAGTTTCCTTTTCAAACCTGACGGTCTATGGGGGCAAGTGAAGTAGAGTTCACTTGTTTCTGTGACCTCGGCATATGAAGAGATAGTGTGGTCAGCACTATGCTCAGCCGCCTTTACTCTCCCTAACGTGAGTTAGGTACCCATCAGAGTTGGGTGGACTCAAGGACGGTCTACTAACTTGAACCCGGATTCGAACTCGAGACTTACGGGTTAGCAGTCCAGCTCTCTACCGCTAGACCACTCCATCCCATTAGTTTTTAGTATCAGCTGCTTTTTATTTAAAAGAAGGCTGTTAAATTGGTGATAAGACTGTTGATGTGGGCATTCTGTTAAATACCTACTCTTTCCTGTTACTAAAATAACATTTTTTTTCTGTACCCTTCTTTTGTTTTTTCCAAGTATGTATTTTAACATACTGAAAATTGTTTTTATTATTCTGCAACTCCAGGTATCCAAAAAACCCAAAGAAGGTAAAGAATCACAGAGCAGAAAGGTAATTGTGTTTACTTTATAATGTGTAAAAAATTTAATCACTTTATATGTACTGTATATGAAACAATCGGTTATTGGCCTTAAGGGCAGGTTAAACCCCCAAATTAAAAATTTGGTGTTAAGACTTTTTTGAGTGATACGGAAGTTGTAACTAACATAGTATATGAAAAAAGTTGCAAAAAAAATCACTAAAAGTTATGGTTTTGTGAAAATATTTTCTAAAAAATGTCATTTTTTAGGGTAAAATAGCTCAAAATTAGCTCTCATTGAAATCACAATAACATAGCTTCTGTTTGTCAGAATAACATGAATCAGAGTGATTTAATAAAATGTATTAGCAGTTTATTAATATAAGGTTATATCTCCTTGGAGTATGTGACATCTCAAATTTTGATTTATACCACCGTAAAATCTATGGCCCTCCTTTTGGTATCATCATAGTTGGGAAAGTAACAATAGTGTTTAAAATTGCTTGTAAAGCCGATCAGCTCTGCCCAGTCCACAAATACACAATGCTTTAAATGAAATTTAAATTTACTGTAAGTGGAATTTGTGTTTTATTTTTGTATTAAAATTTAAAACACATCTTACTAGGTCTGCACAGACTAGTGTTATTTTTTAAATTTTTTTAAAGCCAGTGGTTAGGTAAAGATCAGTGATTTAGATTTTGTTAAACTTTTCTGAACTAAATAAAACTGACTGCTGGTTTTTTTTTTTTAAGTTTGGTGTATACTCTGTTGGTAGTTGTAATTATCTGTTGTATAAATTTCAGTAGATGTAAAGCTGGTGTTGATATAACTTTATTCGCTTTGAAGGCAATTTTCTTTTTTTAAATTTATATCGAGATATTAATGTATTGATTTTTATTTTGCTTACAGAGCAAACTTAAATCTCCAGTTAGAAAGGGTAGCTCTGGTGTCAAACGTCCTAGTGACAGTGGAACTCCATCAGCAACCAAAAAGTAAGTTCATACAATTCTTCTTACTCCTTTAATTACATATCTCATAGTTTTAATATTAGCTATAAGATCCTGTTTATCTAGGGTGTTAAGTTGTTGAAACCTGCTAGTAAAATATAGCATTTTCTTAAGGGGGTCGACATGGTTCAATCGGTAAAGCTCATGGTTGCTAAACATAAAAGGATTGAGTGCGAACCCTCGGGCAGATGAGTCTCGTTAGGGCAGCCACTCTTCTAAAAGAGACAACTCTAAAATTAAACAACTACTGCCTTGTAGTTTGTTCTTGGTTGGACAAAGGCTATGGAAGCAAATCCAAAAAGGAAATCTGTCTGAAATCAGAGTCAATGGCCTCAATGACACTTAACCAGTTGACACGTAAAATCAGAGTCAATGGCCTCAATGACACTTAACCAGTTGACACGTATACTTAATAATGTTGGAGGGAATCCCTACCAACACTAAATTTAAGAAAGAAGAAAAAGCATTTTCTTTATATAAAAAAAATTAAACTTCTTTTAAACATGTTAATAAATAAATTTGTTTAAATAATGGATTTAGTTCTTTTTTTCTTGGACCCCAAATGTCAGATAACATGTGATTATCATAGAACTGCAGGGTGGCTTTGTGCAATCAATATACCTTTCCAATTAAAAATGTAACCTAATAATTTTACATATTAAAGTAAAAATTTACATTTATATTAGTATGGTTTTCCTCCGCTCCGCGCATTAAATATAAAATATGCTTAATGTATCAAAAGCTTAAGTCTTACACATTGCATGTACAGGTTTTTTATGACCAAGAGCCATAAAACTACAGACTTAGATGACACACCAAAGACCGGGGATGATTCCATGAGAGAATCTTATCATTTTACACACACTATTGGTGTTGGGGATGTAGGAGTGGGAACCAAGCTGGAGGAATATGATGAAGTTGAGTCTGAGGAAAAGGTACATTGAATATCTCTTACTTTTTGCATTTCCCTTTTAATGCTCATAATTATCTAAACTTGTCTTTCACACATTTAGATAAGAAAATATAATTCATATTTAGTCTAAAGAAAAAAAAAGCCACATTGTTTTTAAAAATATAGATATAGTTTTTACAAACTTTTATTTAGTTTCCTTACTTTTTCAGTCTTAGATAAAATCTTACAATAGAAATTCCAATCACTTTTACCCAAACCAAATGTTTCATTTTTAGTGAAATAATTAATTATTGCTACAAATAGTTAAGTAGTGCAGTGTTTTTAATTTTAGATATCCTTCCAACTGGTGCCCTGTTTTAGTCATTAGATTTTCTTCATACAAAAATTGAAATACAAATATCTAACACTGTAATATAACCAACTTTTATATCTGCATTAAAAAGAAGAAAATAAAATAATTTTCTTTAAATATAACAATGAACCATTATTTAGATACTTTTAAATACAAGCATTGGGGGCTCATAAGATCTTACAAATTTTATTTACGTACATTAATCTAAAATCCCCATCATTTGAAAATATTCTTTGTCTTACTATTGAACCTTGAGCTGTTATAAAGAGAAGTCTAGGATATTAATTTGGAATTTTAAGTTAACTTTTAACTTTTCATTCACGCTATGCCCATTAGGAAGAGGATTTTTAAAAATTTAACTTAATAGTATTTAATTTGTCTTTTACAGAGATATATATATATATATATACTTTGTAAAAGGTTTTTATATTATAAATTTGTAATTTCTCAGAATAATGTTTTGGATACAGTTAACATTAAACTATCATTACTCAGTGACAGTTAAAATCAGCATTAACATGCTTTACTGCCAACTGAAAACTTAAGATCAGCCGTTGGTGCTAAGTGACTCAAACCATTGTGGAAGGTCAAAAATATTTCAACTATCCATTAATAGGTCTTTTTTATTTAGAGATGGGCATACACACTCCACACTAATAATGGTGCATTGTAATATTAAACAAAAATATATTTCATTTATTCTTTTTGTGCATATAACAGCTTATCATTAGAATATTTATATATTGATTATTTAGCATTACAACTTTTTTCTTGGTTCTCTATAGTTGTGTTCATTGCAGCAAAATTTGTGTCTCAGTTTCGGACCATTCTTCTTCTGTGATTTTTCTTTAACTTATCGCATAAGTTCATCACAGACAACATTGCATTAAAAGTTAAATTTTGTTCTCTCTAGATATTACAATTTAAAAAGTCATTACAAATTATTTTCTCACCTACATAATATAATAACAAAAGGGGAATAACTAGGTTGTATAATTGAGTTGCATGAGTGGTTCACAAATATTACAGCAGAGGTTGACACTCATATAGGGAATATAATACACACCATGGAGTGACTTTCATTTGAGACTGTTATTATGGGTGGTGTAAAATTTTGAGTTTGATAGTGATAATCTTGTTAAGAATGATCATGACCTTTTTTTAAGTAATGAAAATAAACCTAGACTTTGAAAATCATAATCAACTAAAATTCTTAGTGTCTTTGTGGTCAGTTCCTGGTCCACTGGTTCACATATATTGCATTTAATTATATTTTCATTTAATTATATTTTCATTGTCCAGTACTTTCTGTTTGTGTTCAGTAAGTAAAAGAATACCCTAGCTAGTAGCCTGACCTGCCTCACAATGCCACAGCAAGGGTTGTTAGTTAGGGGTCACACTAACCTTGCAGATGTACTGTGGCCATTGACATTAATGCATGTATTTAGGATTTTACCTTTCAATTTAACCAACACTTGTTTACTCTATCCAGCCTTAGCTTGCTGATGAAAATTAATTAAATGAACTTGGCTATTATTTCTAAGCTTTTTTAAAAATATCTTGTTTGTCTAATTGGCATCATTTTAAAATTTAATCACAACTTGCCTCTTTCTTAAAAAATACACCAATGGCAATTAGCCTATAATGATGATAAATTTGGTGATAATTTATTATGGCTTTAGAAAATGATAGCTTGTTTGCACAAAAAAAGAATAACAGGTGAAAAGTATTATTCTTAAATAATAATACTTTTGTTTCTGAAATTCATTAATCAGGGGTATGCAGTAATGTGAAATGACTGCCTATTTCTCAAGTTGCTGAAAATATAGTACTTTAGACATGAACTATTTTTAAAATAATAAAGATTTTAGTAAATTGATGATTTCATGGTTTGTTGGAACCAGCTACTTTAAATATGTTTTAATAAAGTTAAAATTAGTAATTTTGTTCACTTTATGTTTGTTGGCCATGCCATGTTTGTTAAATCAGAACAAGGTTCAATAATTTTTTTACTAAGAGTTCTTCTAACAAGCCAATACATTTTTTTTAGGTGTCTACATAAAATGATCTAATTTATTAAGGTATAGAATAAATGGAAGTAAATGGATATGGTTATTGTTCTTATTGCTTGTTTACAGATATCTGGAAAAACAGTTATACCAACTCCTTTAAGGATTGGTTTTCTTGGTCTTGGCATTATGGGTCAGGGAATGGTAATGAATCTTCTAAGATCTGGTCATGAAGTCACTGTTTGGAACAGAACAGCTACAAAGGTAAGTTGTTTTGCCTTTTTTTAGCTCTTCTCAGCTTACATTCTTCATGTTATTTCCTCCCTTTTTGGCCTTAGGATGTTTTCTTGTAACTTTAAAAACAGGTTAAATGATAGCATTACAAAACAATCACATGAGCTCTTTTTATGAATATTTTATAAAATTTGAAATCAGAGGATAGAAAATACAAAGTCTGCTTTATATAAAATACTAACCGTCCTGGCCAGGCCCTGCTCTGGCCTCTGTGAAAAACCTCTCTGTTAAGGACCATTACCTGTGTGTTTAGTAATCATCATATACCCAGCATTGCCCACCCTAACCACAACCAACCAAAACAAAAAAACGCAAACATAAACACAACACAATTACTAATACAAACGAAAACAAAAACCTAACAACAAACCCAACCACTACCACAAACACCAATACAAACACAATGAAAAAGCAAACGAAAACAAACCAAATTCAAACATAACCACAACACAACCACAACACAATCCGGGACGGCTACTATTATATTAAATGGTATATCTTCTTGTAGTTTGGTGCAGGTGTCTATAAAATAGCTTTCTGGTGCGACCGACTAAAACGAATTCCCCTTCGTGCGCATAAAAGGAAAGACAAAATGAATGCGCAAAAAAAAAGACACAAATAATAACCTGCGGAAATTCCCTTTCGCGAATAAAGATGTCTTTTGTTGGTTCACCTGTCTTTGATTAAAAATAATAAGAAGAAATCAGTATGTTCAGTGTATGGAATAAATAAAAGGCAGAATTAAAAATACCGACATTGCACTAAATCAATCCCCGCTAATTATGTAATTATTTTTTTTCTAACACCAAAACAAAAGTAATAAAAAGTAAATTCTTCAACCCCCCCCCCCCCCCCCCCGATTTAATGGGTTTTTTTAAAAAGGGAAGTAACTGTGTTTTTCCTAATCTAGGGACGTAATGAGCGCTAAAGGACTAAATGCAAATACATTTCAGACACAATTAGAAATTTGATAAACGTTGATATACTTTTTTTTTTTTTAATTTTATGTAATGTTCATAATTTAAAATTATTATTCTAAGTATGTAAAATGAAAACTGTTTTTAAAGACCTTCAATATTCTTTTTTAACTCATAAATTTAGACCATGAACACTATAATAATCTAACACTTGAATCCATAGAAGTATCATTTTTTCTTATATTCCTTTGAATTTCACGATATACAAACATACAGAATTGAACTTTAAATATTAGATTTCATGCATCAGCTGCTAAGAATGTTTGAACCAAAGACAGACTTCCTTGGCTAAGTTCTTTTGAAATTGTAACTTTTTGTGTGCACATTTCCTATCTCCTTATCAACTACCCCAAAAAAAAGTTATACTTGCACTTGACTCTCAATTGGAAATATTTTTCTGCTCGTGGATAATTTCCTTCCTTTTGTAGCTTCAGTGTTGGTGGATTTTTTTTTTTTTTTGCTAACATTTCAAGTTAACATACATGTTAACTAACATCTTGAAAAGATGCTGTTAGTATGGTTTTTAAATTGCAGTATGACCATTTTGGTCTACTTCTTACCTCGCATTACTAACTGAAAATCTTGTTAACTCTTTCATTGCCCAAGTTTAGACATTTTAAAAGCACTTCTGCTTTGTTCTCTCATGACTACACCCTTAGAGTGCTTACTCTACCTTTCTATTAAATAATTGCAGGCTCTATACATTAGATTTAAATGGGCATTATGACAACTCCCTCAAGTGTTTAGGGTGGAATGTGTCACAGCTGACTAAACTGAAGCTGTGCTTGGCTTTATTGTCAGCTCCTGCATAGCATCATCTTACTGCTGAGTTATTTTAACTGTGCTTCTTTTGATGCAGTCAGAAATATTACAGGATTACATAAATACTTTGAGTAATACAGTTCTAATTTAATGAACACATTAAACTTTATTTTCTTCTCTGTCTACTGCTATTAAGCCTGGGAAGCAGATGATTATAAAATGGATGGGTCCCTTGAAAGCTATTGATGTTTATGTGTACAATCAGTTATTTCCTTTAGAGTTCGTTGTTTTGTAAGCAACAAGATCAGCGTATATTTTATAGGAAAGATAACTATCATATCTCCTATTCTCTCTCTATTCTTTCATTGGTGCTTAGAAATAATTTCCCGGTTGGTTGCTCAAGTGTAACACCAGCTGTCTGCCTTGTGGTTTAATAACTTGCCTTATTTGTTCATTAAGTTCAAAGAACAACACAATAACAATCAAAAGAAAGACATATCTCCATGGCAAAATAAATAGTTTATTTGACTTCAAAAAATTAAAATATACAAAGGTCCCTGATGTGATCTGATGGAATCTTGATAAGGGAATTAGAAAGTTTTATTGCAATAAAATTGAAGAAGCTAATCTCATTTAAGTACTTCTGTTTACATTACTATATTAAAGCATTGTATTATAAGAATAATACATGGTATTAAATTTAAGATGAACAAATTAAAGGTGTGTATACGTCTTGCTAATACTGAATGATGAACAGATGATGGTGGTTTAAAAATAATATTGAAATCCTTCACTGTAATATCCTACTTTTTTATAACACAACAACCATGATCATAAAAATAGTGCAAAGACATTGTGCATTATTAGAATAATATTTCAATTATCCTTTCAACATTTAAAAACTACATTATATGAGTTGTTGTTTTTTTAAATAACTTCTACTTTAATAATTATTGCACACACACAGTGAACTAACAAATTACATTACATATTCTACATACAGTAAACAATAAATAGCAATATCATCTTGTAATCTATTATTTAATTCTCACCAGCCTCTTTTATTTTTAAACCTTCCATATAATATTAATACATACTTAATAATAATTAAACTTTGGTGTATCTTAAGTGTACAGTTCAAAGGGCAGTCTTACTGACTCATTAAATTGAACTGGCTTACTTAAGACTCAGCATTATTTAAATTACTTAACATGGTTATTATAATAATAATGTTTGAACAAACACATAGGCAACAAATAAGTGTTTTAAGTGAACTCTAAGATAAGTTCTTAACACTCTCAAGAACAAGTTACAGTACTGTTGAGCATTAGATTTTATTTAACATGATAATAATAATAATCAGATCATTAATCACCAAACTGAGACATCAAATTGCTTCTCCCTAATGACATACAACAGGATGTGGAAAACATTATTTGTAATATTAATCTCATTGGTTACAAATCTGGGGTATTTTTTTAGAATATAAAAAGTTAGGTTAGCCATGGATCAAGTATCAAACATTAGTTTCTGACACATACTGATTGCTCATTTTTGACTGGTATTCTATGTTCATTCCGTCTTCCACTTGTGTTTGAACCTTAGCAGGTGAACTGTTAGGTGTTACAAATGCTCCATCCCCTTCTGGGTTCCTTGCTGCTGAGTCCTCGATGTTAATCTCATCTTGGTTTTTAAGGGAATCTGTCGTGTCACCGTGGAAACCAGCTAGATGTTCTTCGCTGTCACACTGCCATAAAACTCCTCTCTGTTCCATATCTATTGTTGTTTGCACATGAATGACAGAACAATTTTCACTGGAGCTAGAGCTAAGGTTTGTTGGTGGATGCATGAAGTCCACCTCGCAGCTCTCTTCCAGGCTTGTGGCGGGACTGCTGGCAGCGGTAGTGTACTCAGACAAGGGGGAATCTATGCGGTCATCATCTCCCAGTAAATCTATATCAAACATCATGCTTTCTGTACGCATGCATTCTGTCTCAACAACATTCCGGCAGTTCTCTAGGTTCATTGTATCCAGAAGTTTCAGTACATGCTGCTGTTGTAGTTTGTATGTCTCCCTCAATTTGTCTAGCTGGTTGCAACCATAGTCTCGGATTCTAACTATCTGGTTGTTGGCCCTCTCTCTGATCTGCATGATCTGGTTGCTAGAATAGTCCCGGAGTTGGCAGAGTTTAGAGTTGTAGTTGTCTCGCACTTTCTCCACCTGGTTGGAACAGCCACGCTTCATCTTTGTAACTTGTGATGTATAGTTACGATGGAGTTTATCTCTTTGGATGTGGTACTGGTTTCTAACACGTGCCAACTGGTGTGTGTAGTTTTCATGAATCCTGCTGATTTGAGTGGTTTTATAGATGGTCAAGTTCTCTAGCATCTGTCTAATAATTTCTCTCCTTCGTTTATTTACTAGACGTCTTGCAATCCAAGATATTATAACATAGATTAAATTCAGAGTGAAAAAGGCTAAAGCACATAGAAGGCCTACTATGATTGCAAATATTTTTACATCTGTGGAAAGCTTACAGTTGAGAAAGATTTCAATGCGGGTGGATTGATTGTAATGGGCATTGCTAATGTAGCACTTGTAAGACCCTGTATCAGTCCTTAGCATGTAATCTATGTAAAGTGAACCATCAGAAAGTAGAATAATTCTGTTGGGTTGTGAGGACACCTCTGGGTAATAAGAAGAGCTGTGGTGCCACTCATGGTCTTTGTGGAATTCTGAGTCAGGCTCTATATCAGCTGGTGTTAGTAAGTGTTCAACTGCATTAGGGTAATAGTAATGGTAATAAAATCTGGACCCAGTTGGTGTCACCCACTTGATGATACCAGGCTCCTCTGCTTCATATGGGCACCTCAATAGTAGTTGAGATCCAAGTTGTGCATGGACTGTGTTGGTTATATTGTGTAGTTGGATAGGCTGGCACTGAACACTAGTTAGGTTTTGTAGTTGGCCATAGTCTGAAGTACATTGGAGTGAAGATTGGAATTTATTTGCTGCATGAGCTAGCCATATATTGACACAAGAACAATTGAACATGTTTTCCCTAAGGTCTACTTGTATTAGCTCCTGGTTGTTGTAAAAAGTAATCTCTGAAAGTTGTTGTAGTCCAGTATTGGACAAATCCAACACCTGCAAACTGACCAGTGGTTTGAATAAGTCTGGATGGATGAACTGAAGGTTAGGGTTGTAGCTGAGATTAAGTTGCCTAAGCTGTGTGAGACCTTGAAAAGCTGTATGTGATATATTGACCAGGTTTGTCATGTTGGCCAGAGAGAGTGATCTCAGATTTGGAGGAAAGACTGCCTTTTGTATAATTGAAATATTATTGAAGTCTAGGTTTAAATACTCTAGTTGGTGCAGACCTTCTATCTTGTCTAGATGTTGTAGAGAAGTGTTGGCTATGTATAAACTTATTAGGGATGGAAGGAATAAAAATTGGTCTGGATGTATCACAAATAGTGGATTGTTAGTTAGATCCAAATGGATTAGGTCAGGCATTGGAGAGATGACAGGCATCAACTGAATGTTGTTGTTGTTAAGATATAAATACTTGAGTTTTGAAAGAACTTGTACTTGGTCCAGAACATCTGCTGAAAGCTGGTTGTAACTTAGGTCTAAAATTGTCAGACTTTCTAGGGAGATCATTGTTATATTGCTGATACTTGTTAGGTAGTTGTGGCTCAGATTCAAACTTTGTAAATTTTGGAGGCTTAAAAATATATTTTTATCAAACTGTTGAATTTGATTGTCTGAGAAATCTAAAGATTCTATGGTCTGCTGGTTGAGATAAAGGTCAGCGATGGAGCTGCTGTCATTAGTGTCCATATCGGAAAGACTTAGGTTGTCTAATAAAACATCATCAGACTGGATGTGGATCACCACAGCTGTTAGATTCTTATGAGAGCAATTAATGCTTGATTGAACACAGTTGCAGTTGTCTGGACATTTTAGTCCTGAAGAAAGGCTGAGCACTCCAAATATCAACAGAACCAATGTAGGCAGCATGGCTTAATCTTAGAGCTGCTAATTTGATGTCAATTTTCTTACATCATGTAGCAAAACTGTATGGCCCTGCCAAAAACACAAATAGAAATAAACCTGAAATATTATATTTATTCTAAAAAGCAAAAATAACTAGATCTAGAGCTTTTTTTTTTTTACTATAATTAAAATTAAAAACTATAATGTATTAAACATTTTAAATTATTAGGCATTAGATATAGATCTACTTTAATTAAAGAATAGTATTTAGTTTGAAGAATGTAGATCTCGCTATAGCTTGAAACAAAGAATAAAAGTCTATAGGCCTACTAGATCTATAACTTGTAGTAGATTTAATAGACTAGAGCTAGACAAGCTACAGAATTTAAGTTCAATCAAGATACTAGATTTTATATTATTAGGATAACTAGATTCTAGATTTCTAGATCTAGATCTAGATCTAGATCTCTAGACTATTTCTAGTTTTTTGCCCATTAAAAAAAGATAGATTCCAGATATTCTAGATCTAGGAATAGGATTGAGTAGATTCACGGACAGAAACATTCTATTTCTATAGGCCTACTTAGTCTAGATTCTAATAGGTATTCTAAATGAGCCGAAAAATTTAAGCCGGTTTTAAAAAATTTTGGTCGCGTTGCGGCATCGCGCGGCGGTCCGACCCCATAAGACATACGCAATTAGAAACCACTGATTTAGAAAGTAGAATGGTAGCTCTGTAAGATGGTATAACTTTATCAGCTGTATAATATAATTAAATGCTAAAAATGTTCAATTTAAAATTTTAAAATGATTTTTTTCCATGAAAAAATAATTTTACAGCCGCCAAAGTTGTATATTCCGAAAGGGCATCCAATTTGCCATAAAACTGTTACGATTTAATGAACACTCCATGTATGGGGTCGGACCGCAGTAAATGAAACCAATGTATACAAATCGCGACGACCCGCATCTAAATTTCGCCGGCTTGAGTCAAGATTTTGTTGAATTCCGGAACACCCGACCTCGGTTCAGAGCAAGATTTTGTGTTTATTCGTTGATTACAGTGGATTTAAAAACACGTGCAGGTAAGTTGAATGCATATTATATTACTAGCTATATTCTATTTATTTATGATTAACTGCTGCTTTAATACATTTGAATATTAGTGTCCGCTTATCGGTAATTGCTCCACGCTTAAAAAAAATTTTTCCAAAAAATTATCTAGCCTTTTTTAAAAGTCAGTTGTATTTAATTTATGGTCACTGAAATAAAAAAGGAATGCGCAATTAAATCAAAAAGATGTTTAAAAGGATGATAGAATTTAATTTGTTTTAGTAAATTATGTTACTTAATAACATCGGCCGATTAAACTATCAATATTTTGTCGATATTTCAAGCCGATTGTCCGCCATGTTTTTTTTTTACTTTCTCGTAGTGTTGGATTCAACTATTATATTACCGCAGCGGTTAACAGCATACTTTCAATTTATTGTAGCATTGTTTTTTTTGTCTTTCCTAGTTTAATAGTTAACTATTCTATATATGTGCAGTAGTTACATTAAATTTTAGAATATTACGATCTTTTACATTTTTTATCTCTAGATTTATTGTAAAGACGACTTAAAATAAAATGTAGCCCCCCTTCCATAATAGTTTAGTCCAAAGTTGTTTCTAGATTTAGTCTAGATCAATTTAGTAGATTAGTTAGATTCACTATTGCTTTCATGTTAATATTTAGATCTAGTAGTAGAACTATCTATAGTGCTTACATTTAATATCTAAAAAGCATTGAGCAGCCTTACTTTTAATATTATTATTATTCTATTTACAGAGCAAGATATTAGCATAAAAGAAAGGGGAACCTCATTGGCCTACCAAAAATTTTGTATTGTTGTGAAAGCAACAGCAGGACTCCTGAATACTTTTGAAGGAAACCATATGTCAAATGTTAGTATTGTATGCACTTTGCTTATTATTTATAATGATGTAATGTTACATGATTGATATCTAAGTTGGTATAAAGATATACAGGCCTGCTATATAAGTCAGTATATTTGAAATGCTTATTAATTGTTTTTATTCACAGACATTTTCTATACTCTGGACCAATGGAAGGATCCCTTACTAGATTCCATAATTTGATCTGTAACCTTGAAGAAGACAAACTCAACCAGGATATTGACTATTAATTGCAATGCTACACAACCTCATAGAGAACTTTCCCAATCAGGATATTGACCTGTCTTTTTGAACCTGCTCTAAGATTTCTGATAATTGTATAAGTTAGGACCTAGACATTTCCAGAAGTTGACTTTGATCAATAACTAACTAGAAGAAATAAATATACTAGTAACAAGTAAATTTATGCTAAACAAGTCATGATTAGGAACCAGAGTAACAAAACTAGATGAACATCACAACTCTATTAGGGTAATTTAAAAAGAATTTCAGTTTAATTAGTTATCTTACTTCGTCAGTTTTTAAAATGCATGGAATTTCTTCTTATTATAGGATATAAGTAAAGTAGTAGTATAGTTATTTAGTTTTTTATAACAAAGTAATGCTAACATGTTTCCTACACAATTTATATTACTTTCTTAAAAGTAAGAACACTTTTTGCAAGATGTTAGGTATTGAAAATTCTTGATTTTGGGCGTTAAGGAAGGATGCCTTGTATTGTTTTGCAGAATGATTATTTTATGTCTCTGTGTTTATTATATATTAAGAACATCATGTGCTTAAAGTTGGTGTAAAATTTATTAAGATACCTTACTTAAATATTTTTTAATAATTTTTTGAAAAAGGATGAAATTTCTAATTTTTATAAACTGACCTTGCTGAATCTGGTCTCGCTAATTACTTTCTTTATTAATTCTTTACCTGCTTATTTTATATTAACATGGTTTGAATTTCCTTTCTTAGAACATTTATATTATGAATGTGGCTTAATTAGTTGATTTTCTATGATTTTTTAAAAATGACTGTAAATTAACTTTTTGTCTCCCTTTTCGTACTTCGGTAAAATTGTGCTTTGGCTCATTTTTATGTGAATAAATTTTCTATTTATATCTGTCTGACTACCTTGAAAAAAATTGGGTTTGCTATTTGTATTACTGGCTGTGTGTGCAAGAAATTTGAGAGTTCTAACTTAGTTATTGTAGAAGTTAGTAGGGGTCTCAAATAGACCCTTTACTGTTCAAAAAGCGAACGCATTTTTTGAGTTTTAAAAAATTCATAACTTTTTTAAAAATGGACATACATCAATAAATTTGGTGTTTCTGTTCTGATGAAAACAGTCTCTATCAGGTGGAAGTGTTAAATTTTATTTAATTTCATTAAAAAAATTTCATTTTGAATACCTAATTCTAATATCTAGATCTAATATCCCGGCGGTGAAGCCTAGCCATCCTCCGTATCTCATCGCTGAAACATCACTTCGTTCCAGCCAGCGCCATTGTTCGATTGTTTGCAGTTGGTGTGTTGGCACGATTTTGTGGCCTTTTTTTTTAAATTTCCGATTTTCAAATTCACATTAGTTAACAAATCATAAGAGAATAACTACAAATGATTTTATTTAAACTAATTACATAGCACCTGTCACTTACTGAATGCTTCCCTCCACAATATTCGCCGCTGGGATTTAAACTCTACAGCTTTTTATGTGCCAGATGCTGTAGTGAACACACTAGTTGGTTTATGTGTAGCTGGTGTGTGCTGGTGGCGGTGATGGGAGAATACTCTAGCCACGGTGCTCGAGGCCAGTGTTGCGCTGCGTGGCGCGCTCGCTTGAAGCTGTCAGTTATTCAGTGTATGCCAACCCGCCGTCGTCGCTAGTCTTTGTCCTCGAACTGACCTCACGCATACGCCTCATTGTTCAAAAGCTGTTAACAAGTAGACCCTTTAATTACGACAGAAACAGTTTCATTAGTTTACATCGCTTTTAACTACTGTATTATTATTAAGTTTCTTGTCAGAATTACAGGTTGCAGTATAAAATTCCCCCCCCCCCCCCGCACACACACACACACACATACGTTAATGAATTTCACGGTCGATAATGTTGCTGTATGCTCGTCAACATTTACATTTCAAAGGCAAATTAAGATAGCAGGAGACTTGATAAGAATGATAAACGTTATCACTCGAGCACTATCTCATGAACTCAATGTAGTGTTAAGAGATACCGTAGAGATAACCTCCGTTGATAGTGGACGAGTTGCTTAAAATAGATGTTTACAGTTAACTTCGTTACAAATAATAATACTCGTTCGTTTATATGAACTGAGCTTGTGGCGGAAAACAAAAACATGAAGCCGTGGTGGGCGTATTGTAAGCTTATTGTATTTTATATAGATCTAACAGTAAATCTGATTGGCTGTGGGCCTAACAAACGAAACTGATTTGGCCTAGACGTGCAATACAGATGATAACCATGCCTACCTGCCGATTCAGAACACACATTAAGGCTAAGCTCTAATTCAAACGACATAAGCTTGACAATGCACCAACCAACCTACCGTTGCCAGTGACATCTAACGTCTACTCCATTTTGAGTGAGTCAAATCTGCTGCACTGGCGCATTCACCCGCCTTCGACAAATACAATGATCGACCGGGCGCTACGTTACCGGAGGTCTATTTATAGCCCTGCTGTACTCAACATTTCTACTGCATCAAGTACCAGAGACGGGAGCTAATCGATCAAGGTGTCGTAGCGGGCTCTAGTTTGATGGAGTTACGTCAACTAATCAATATTTAATACAGCTAAGCACCATGTTAAGTCTACGTGTGTGGCCAGTGAAATGGATGCGGGCGTAGTTACACGTCTAATTATAGGTTCTAGGAAAGAATTATTCCAGGCCTCCTCATCCCATAAATATTTTAATTATATTTTTTAAAAAAACTTTTTTTTTTGAATACTTATAAAAGATTGGCTAGTACAAATTAGGTCTTTATCCACATTTCATGTTTAAGTTTTTTTTTTTTTATCTTGTTTAGTGAGATTAGATATTTTTATTTGCTTCCTTTTTACTCTACAATCTAATGTCTAAGCTATCTTTTGCTCTTGTTATTGTTTTGTTGTTTTATTTTGTTTTATTTATGTTACAAATAAAACATTTGTTTTAACCAAGGACATTATCTTCCCTTTCCCCCCCCCCCCCCAGACATTAATCCAAAGCTCAACATAGAAATCAATGACCTAATTTTAAAGAAACAGTACTTGTGTACTTAAAAATATAAAGGTTATAATGAATATTATTTGACTGCAGACTAAAAATAACCAAGTTTTTATTTTATTTTGTATAGTGTCGAGAGTTTGTGAAAGCAGGAGCTCTGAAAGGAAACAACCCTGCAGATGTGGTTCAGTCATGTGACATCACATTCACTTGTGTCGCTGACTCGACAGCAGTCAGAGATGTGAGAACTTTTTTTGTTTGCTGCTATACTACTACTACTATAATACAGTTATAGACATTTTTCAGTTTCACTTTTAGTCCAATGTTGTTAAGCCATGTTTTTATTTTTAACCCAGTGCCACTATATTACATTCATAATAAGCCAACTACACATCTATTTTCACTGACATAACATTTCAAGCTAAACTAAACGCCAGCCATTCCCAGAAATCTTAGAATATCAATATTTGTTGATCCCATAAATTTTAATAGTTTCTGAACAAAACATAACTGCGTTGATGCAATTCATAGACCACAAAATGCACACATCACAAAATAAATTGATACTCCTGGCTCATAGCTGTTAGTTTTGTCTTTTCTAGATCATGTTTGGTAACATGGGTGTGTTAGATGGTATCTCAAAGGGAAAATGCTACGTGGAGATGTCAACTGTAGATGAAGAGACAGTACAGGATGTAGCTGATGTACGTTACTTTTGGATTCACACTTCAACATACTGATACTCTAAACTTATTGTTTAAGTCCTATTGCTAAAAGTTTCAGGATTTTTGCAATATAATAGAAGTTAAAAATAATTTTTTTTTTTAAATGTTTGCACTTTGAAACAGAATTTTCAGATATTTTTTTTTACATAATAATTTCACAGGCTATCATGGCTAGAGGTGGTGCGTTCTTAGAGGCCCCAGTTTGTGGCAGCCGAGTGCCAGCATTAGAAGGACAGTTACTGATTTTGTCCTCAGGAGATCGCAAACTGTTTGATGATTGTTATTCATGCTTTGAGGCCATGGGGAAAAAATCTTTTTACCTTGGAAGTTAGTAACCACTTCTTTTTACTATGACTAAAGATGCAGTATTTTGCCTTAAATTGCATTGCTGTCGAGGGACTGGTGTGGTTGGGTAGGTAAAGCTCTTTGTTGCTAAATCGAAACAGTATAGGGCTCAAACCCCTGGGTAGATGAAGCTCAATACCTGAGGACAGCAACCCATCTAGGAGAGGAATTTTACAAAACCAAACAACTGCTGCCGTGTAATTTGTTCTTGGATGGACAAAGATTATGGAAGTAATTCCAGAAAGAAAAGAAGTCAATATGGCACATAACAAGTTGACACGTAATACTGAATGTGTTGAAGAAAATCCATTCCAACATGTTACATAACTTTTTGTATTTGACTTTTGTATGTTAGTTGTTTATTTAACTATTAATTTGGCTTAAAAATGAATTTTCTAGATGAAGTAGGCACAGCAACACGCATGAAGCTTATCCACAACATGATCTTAGGCAACATAGTGGCCAGCTTGGCTGAAGGCATGGCCCTGGCCGAGAAGGTTGGAATTGATCTGGAAGATTTTGCTGAAGTTCTCTCCCTTGGATCACTAGCCTGTCGCACAGTCAATCATAAGAGTCAAGGTATGTTTTACCTGGGGTTAACTTGTCATTTATTTGCATACAAGAATTTCAATGCAGGCTTTCCTGTATTTGTACAAAAACTGTAGTCTGACAGACTTTAGGCACAGCTTTTGTATTATTGAATTTTTATTGTTTATTCTTTTCATTTTTTTTATCCATTTAATGATAGTTTATAATTTTTTCGCTTAAGATTTCATTTAGTAAATGTAAACAAATGTATTTAATAATATAGAAAAGGCCATCTATTTAATGATTATTAGGTTGTGATTATATTTTGTTCATCATTTTATGTATCTGCTGCTATCTTTTAACTGGAACTGAAAAATTCCCTTTCTTGTCTGCAGCTATCCTGAATGGAAGATTCGACCCCCATTTCCCACTCCAGCACCAACAGAAAGATCTACGGTTAGTCCTAGGACTTGGAGACAGTGTGGAACAGCCCTTACACTTGGCAGCTGCTGCTAATGAGCTCTTTAAGAAGGCCAGAAGGATGGGTTATGGTGATGCTGATGTTGCTGCTGTCTTTAAGGCAGCCAGTAAGTTTATTACAATTCTAACATAATTCCTGGTGCAGGCTGAATATTAATTTTGCATTTCTAGAGCTTATCGAACAAACCTGTTTAGTGGTTATAGCTTGGGTCAATCTTGTCATTTCTTTCTCTTCTTCTCTCTCATTCTTCCTCCTCCTCCCCCCTTCCCTTAATTTATTAAGAAAAATATAAAATCATTTTTTAAATTAATTAGTACCTAAATAAATATTTCTATAAGTCCTGTGGATTTCCCTCAACATAATGTAGCTGATTAGTTGTCCAAGAAACTCTACTGCCTGTGAATAGAACATTGATCTCCCCTGCCTGCAAAAAAAATCTTGCTAAGGGGGTGATGTATTCCTATATTGATTTTTACCTAACTGGAAAAAAATGATGTGAGGTTTAGGCCTTGTTCTGTTAATGTTAGTTATCTGTCTAAAGAGATTTGCAAGCCTTGTGTTGAACATTAGTGTCAGGCTATTATTATCTGCTTAGCATATTTCACCCAATTTATTGTCCAAAGGATATATTGTAATGGATTGTTATAATTAGTTTAACCCTTTTAGCCCTGGGTGCTTACTATTTCATGTTGACCAGTCATATACAGTTCAGTTGTTGTTTTTTCCATTCCCAATTTTGTAAATCTCCATCAAATAAAAGAGTGAAAAAAGTTTAGAGATAATTTGATAATACTGGTGGCAAATGTGTAAAACGTTTTAATTTTTTTTTTTTCCAGATGAATTTGGAGCAGGAGAAAAAACAGATGCGGCCAATGACAGCCAGACAAAATAAGACAACCACAGCATAGACCTGAAAATCATCTTAAACTACTGAGTTAACACGTTATCTACTGAAGAGAAAGAATGTTTGTACTTACGTGACATCAATTGCTCCCAAAACCATGTTCACTCCATCTTTGTAACATTGGCTTTTTTGTGGCATCCACACAACTGTTTAGTTTTCATGATCTTTCTTTGTAATTAACTGAACTTGTAATGTTGATTTAAAACAGAAATTTTAAAATAAATTATATCTCCTCAATTAAATTATTTTTTTACTGATCTATCTTTGAGCTGGACTATAATGTTGACTGACCGCTTGCTGTTTTTAAAAAGACTGTAAAATGACTGTTATTTACCCTCTGACTTTATGGACCAAGTTGATCCCTAAAAAAATATTAAGGCATCTTTTAACTCTTTGTTGTTACGATTTTTTTTTTCTAAAACTTGAGCTATGTATATTTTTCTGTAGTAAAAAATTTTTTTTTCCTGAAATGGATAGTCTATGAAATATGCATGCATATCTAGACAAAGTATAAATTTTAGCATTGATATTATTGTGTGGACTCGCATGTTGATGGTAAGAGCTATGTTTTTATCAACTAGAAGAGGTTAAACGAACTGGCAAGTTATGGGGTAAAAGGGTGGGGGATTTTTTATGTGGAGATGATTTTTAAAAATGTTTCTCATTTGTTGTTAAGTTTTTGTTTTTAATCTTTAATATATCTGAATGTATGCATTTATGGATTATTTTTTTAAAACTTGGATTTAGTATTAATTGGAAGCAAGAATTTGTACTTTAGGTAAAGAACACCAGATGAAATGTTTAGTTCATCAAAAGAAATCAAAGATGTTGAGGCTTAGATACTAATGTATAACCAAGCATGCAAGTTCTCTTACTTTCTGCTTGTAAGTTCATTATGGGTAGAATCAACAACATGCAAGGTTCTTCATCTTTCTGTCTTTGATTTATTTTGAGTAATAAGTAATGAAAACAGATTTTGTGTTCTGTGTATTATATTTTACAATTACTAATTACATTGTTTTCCAAGTAGTTTTTGAACATATTTTTTTTTTATTAGCGATGATAAAAGCTTAAAACTATTTTGTTCGCAAATTTTTTTTGTCATTACATTTATAGATTGTGTATCAGGAAATTGATGCTGACACTGTGGAACAAATTTGTTTAATTTTAATCAAGGAAAATATGGTATCTTGTAAAGTTGTTTACCCATTACAAATTATTATTTTTTTTTTTGCTTTGTTAAAAGCTGTTAACAATATGTAATTATTTCACCTTTTAAATCTTTTTTTTTTTGTAAAGTAATGAGGAACGTTGTGACTTGTTTCTGTGCAAAGTTAGGAGTGCAATAGTTTTCAACAACGCGCAAGATTAATTCAGTTTTCTTGTAGTCTATTTTCAGTACAAGCTGGACGTAAGATACATTTTTTTTTTGCTACATTTTAATGTCATATACCATTACTATGTTTTCCAATAAAAATTATCATCATTAGGCTTGCTGGTTGTTCCCTCATCTACATGAGTTTGTTATTTAAGAAAGTTATTTATACCAATCTTTGTAGAATTATGTTCTTAATTTTTGATAAAGTAAGAACTTAAGATGAAATCTATTTTGCACTTCTTTATCATTTTCGATGTTTGTTACTTTGGGGGGGGGGGGGTTAAAAACCAATCACGTGTGTGTTATTATATTTTATATATATATATATATATATATATATATATATATATATATATATATATATGCCTCATATGTTCCATAATTACGTAATCGTAGCATTGTGCACACGAGAACAGTCTCCTTAACGTTAGACAGCAGTTATTTTTGGGTTGCAATACACCCCCCCCCCCTTTTGTCATGAAATCAGTGGGGTTTATTTGCTTAAACTATTTAGAACAATGGACCTTTATTTAGATCATGCCGGTACAATCTGCAGCCGCTCGATTTTGTCCAGGTACTATTAGAACTGGATCAACTCAATAGCTACCATTTCCGGGTCAAATCCTTTGTTCAAACAATTCTTTTTTTTCCCTACCCTTGACTGGTAAAAAAATTTGTGAAACTATTGTTGTATGTTACAAAATAAAACTCATAACAGTTACTGGAGGCAAAAAGAACTTAGTCCAGTTTAGTTAATGTGTTAGTTTCGTTCGTGTTTTTTCTGCATTCCACTTTTTAAAAATCTAAAAGAGCATTAGCGTGTCTTGAAATCCTTAGTAGAAAGTAAAACGAACTTACTATCTCACATAGTGCATTTACACCCCCACCCCACCCCGGTTCAAATTGTGGGTGGTTGGGTTGGAGTGAAGTGAAATGGTGTATATTTCTGTGTTTCCCTCTCGCTTAAAAATGACCAACACACCAAAAAAAAATGAGATCCCTTCTAGAATGGTCAAAACTGTGGGAGGTGAGAGGACGCTGTTTGACCCGCTTTCAATGTATGACTTGTGCCCACCGCTAGGGACAGTGCAAATTTTGTTTTCGTGGTTTTTTTTTTTTCCTTTTGGTATGCGTGTTGGGGGGGGGGGGGGGTGGGATGGAGGAGGGGATGCAGCGACTAAGGAAATCGTGCTTTTACAGAATGTTTTAATTAAGGTTTTTTTGTCCCACCGATGATGCGCTGATTCCAAAATGGACTTGAAACCAATTTTATTCAATTTTACTTTCGTGGACTTCTTTTGAATGTGCATCAAGGGTGTAAATAACGAGAATTCCAACTTAAAGAAAAATTACGATCTAAAGCGGTTTTAGTTCAAATTTTTTAAAAATAAAATTTAGTCGTTTTGTTTTATTTTTATCGTTGCAAGAATTGTGAAGTGGACAAAAAGCATGGGTAGGTATACGCCTAATACTAATATATTTCTCTAAACTTTTTAGTGGTATGTAGGTATTCTTACACGAAAACGTTTTAAAATATGTTGGTTAAGGTACTTTTTTTTGGTTTTCCAGAAACATAAATAACACGTAATAGTGATATTCCGAAAAACGTTACCAAAATCAAACACAAACGTTATTTTAAAGAAACTTCATTCAATTTCCACGTCCTTAACATAGTTATAAGTATTATGTGCTCAAAGATTTGAGGTCAAGTAGGCCTGATTTATTTATTTGTCATTAAAAAAAAATTAAACTTGATGACTAAATATAATTTGATATTTAACGCCTTAGTCATTCTTAACCTCTGAACAAGGAAATTATGTAAAATGTGGATCTACATAAATAGAAGGGACTGGTTGTTGTTTGTTTTTTCGAATACAAGTTTTTGTGCAGTTGAAAAATATTATGAATAAAAAAAAACAAATAGTTAATATGATCACTATGTAAGCCTTATGCCGTAATAATGTGAATTGCATCACCAGAAGCGTTTACTTCATGATGGCTTATTTAATTTAAAAAGTATTCAAACATTATTTTAACCACTTTAAAAAAAAGTTCTAAAATTAATGCAGTTTACTTTGAAATAATGCCAATAAAATGGCCTAACGGTGACAGCTGGAAGAAGAAAAAGTTTTTTGTTGTTGATCCACGACACCTGTGACATTGCTAGGGAATAAAGAGGGGCGACCGGTAAAGGTCACCTGTATGGATGTCTCAGGCTATGATCACTTGTTTAAGTTTGTAGACCGGGGGCCCTCTGTAGATAAAGTATATTGAGTGGACAACATAGCGCCACGCCCCCCCCCCCTTCTCGCTAACATAGTGTTGGGTTCTTTCACGTCCTCCTAAGAGAAGAATGGATTGAGTTAAGAGAGGTCATTGAGTGGAAATTATTGGGATCTCTGGCTTAAAATGGTTGGGATCTCTGCCGGCTTTAGTAATGACACTCACAATGACTGTTGATATCCTGATCTAGTAAACTTCCCCTTTCAAACCTGACGGTCTATGGGCCAAGTGCACTCGGCATATGAAGGGATAGTGTGGTCAGCACTATGCCCAGCCGCCTTTACTTACCCTAACGTGAATTGGGTACCCAGGTACCAGGTACTGATTTGAACCCGGATTCAAACTCGTGACTTACGGGTTAGCGGACCAGCTCTCTACCGCTAGACCACTCCGTCCTGATCTAGCTATAATATACACATTTTCGTGGCTCTAAAATTCGGTGTCACCGTCTGGAGACAAGTCCCTTATCACAATTACTAGCAGTTATCTTTTGAAACAAAGTATCTGAATTCGATTACTGGAGTAAACAAAAAAATTGTTAAATAAACGTGTTTTCAACACAGCTAATAGTTAACAGGCACTTAAAATACTGGGGCCCTCTAACGTGAAAGTGGAGTATAGGGATAACTATTCCTTCGTGAAATAGGTTTGTGTAGTGGTAGTCTGTCACTATAGAGCATTATTATAAAACATTTAAACAATGGTGGTGTGAAAATCAACTAATATAATGTAAAAAGAGGAGACATCATTGTACATTTTGTTTCATTATACTTTCACTATACGTAGACTCTAAAATATCCAGCCGGTACAAAGTTTGTTTGATGTTGTTTTTTTAATTATCCATCTCGCAGAATACTAAATGGATAACTCGATGGTGTTTAATTTTTGTGTTTAATTTTGAATTCAATGTAACCAGTGCCACATTATATCATTACTTCTTGTACACATCTGAGCCAATCTTCATCTAGTAGTTTCTTAATGGCGAACGATATAATGCAGAGGCGTAACGAAGGGGGGGGGGTGTGGGTACATAATATTTCCCAGCCCAAGGGGTGCCAAAATGGGTTGGAAAAAAATTAAAAGCTCATTTTAGCTGCAGTTTTGAATTGTAAACATAAAAAACATATGGGATGTGAGCGCCTATTTGAGAGTTTGTCCTTGGGCGCCGGGAAGGGTCGCTACGCCTCTGATATACTGTTCCCGACGCCACAGTACCCCAAAGCTCAAGGTACTGACTTTCTCCTTCGTATTTCACTGACAGTAAACAATAACAAATAACGATAACTAATTCATTTTTTTTCTCTCCCGAAAAGACCATCTTTTGTCCTGTGTTTTGATACTGGTTACCATAGTGATGAGAGCAGCGCCATCACCAACATTTTCACCTACTGGTAAGTAGCCATAGTGTACTGATGTAAACACACATGTGTACACACAAAGTCATGTGTAGGCCACACATAAACAAGTATTGTTTTTAATGCCATTTCGCAACACGGAAGAGTTACTCTGTCTCAATGTCTGGTTGCTTTTTTGTTCCGTTTCCCTCCACTACATTATCAGAAGCGTCACAATTCGGAGTCGAGGCGTCGGTTCGTTCTGGTGACACCATATAGGGGAGGGGGTGACACCACTTCGAAAAATCGTAAAATCACTGTTTAAAGAATGTTTTATGCAGTTAAAGTAATAAAGTAGTATATATGAGAGGGGTGACACCAAAACAACATTGTTGGGTGAGGTTCCCTCCCAACTCTGTGTCGCCAATACCCAACATAGTAAAAATCTGCATAATTATCACACAGTACATTTCTAGCTCACCCGTAGTAAACTTGCTTAGCCTAAGCATTAATTTAAAAAAACTAACAACTAACCGAATTGTAAACAAATTCTCAACCTTCGATTAAGACTGATTTCGATTAGTTAATCTAACCCTCAATCCTACCTTCAACCTAATGCTTATCTCGGGGTGGTGTACAGCTAAACCAATTGTGTATTTAATTTCCTCTCTGTAATTGTTTTCTTTCATCGTATTATGACGTGGTTTACACATTGTTATATTGTAAATATATCTGATATTTTTTCTCTTAGTTAAATATGATATTTACTAAGCAGAGGCGGGTCCAGCCTTCAAGTAATGAAGGAATGGGAAGGCTATATTTTGAACTGTTTAATTCTACATTAATGGAGGCGCCAGCCAAGCCTAGACATTCCTTAAATCCGCTTATGTAAATAGGGGCAGTGGCGTAAGCAAGGGAAGGGGGGGGGGCTATAACCCCTCCCATGGACTCACACCCCATATATATATGTGTGTGTGTGTGTGATTTTATACATATGGAAAAATATTTGAATCCCTCCCATGACCAATTCCTAGATACGCCACTGAATATGGGAATATACGATTAAAGAATAATGTAATCGTATATTTAATGTTTATGAACCAAGTTTCTAATATGACCCTCACTTTTCTATTGTAAAAGTGTCAAATGCCTCTGCCGTGGTGGGATCAGCCCACAGTTCCTTGACAACAACCACCTCACCGTCAACAACCGGAAGCGTGACGTCAGATCCTGTCTGGCAGGTGTGCTTGGCGCAAGTGGCCGGCAAGAACTTCAGCCGGGACCTCAGCATAGCAGGCGTCATGGAACTATGGTGCCAGTAAGTGCTCACTCTCCAAGCCAGGAACTTCGAGTTTCTTTCAGTCGCCTTTCCTCCCCTCCCCCCCCCCCCCAAAAAAAAATAGCCCCCCCCCCAAATATAATTTATATATAAAACAAATGCTCCAACCAGTGTCGTATTTAACTGTAGTGGAGACACATTCTCATTCCTTTCCT